GATAAGAGCCTTTGAGTACACAACTTTACCTGCAGGTTCTGTTTCTTTACTTAAACTTGTGCCTGAAACATTTAGCACTGCATGTTGACTGGTGTATTCATTCATTGTATCTCACAGCTAACCTGACCATTAGTTCTTCCATTAGAACAATTTTCCTTGACACAGGAGAATTCACAGTTTTTTAAATTTCTTGTTTCTCAGAAACCTGCTCTATGACATAAGCCATCCTCTCAACATCTTGAGAACAAGTCTAGTATGTGCATTCCAGACGTTCTCCAGTGTGAGAGTGCTGGAAGAGTGCACCTTTACTGCTGTGGTCCCTGAGATGACAGAAAGCGGCTGCGCTGGAGTCTACAGAGTGAATGTTCACAAGACTGGGCACTCCACAGGCGCTTGGATGCTCAGACCACACCTCCTTGGTCATGTGGACGACTTGATTGACAGGTATGCAAATGACGGATGTGTCCTCCTAGGAGAGAGCTACCACCGGTGTTCCATAGCAACAGACACATTTCCCATCATGCACCAGCTGCTGTTTGTTGCCCCCCACGATAAAAATGCTGTCAACGTGGTCAGCAAGATTTTGGTAGATCTCAGTGGTGGAAGTTCTTGCGTACAGGTAATGGGCCAGACCACTGATGAGATAGATGAATCTCTGAAAAGCCCTGGCAATACAGATGGGGAAAAGTCACTGAAAAGACGTCACAGCCAAATCGAAGAAGTTGGCACACGGCCAAGTAACAGTGGAGGGGAAAGCAACAGGGAACGCCATCATCAATGCCCTGTGTGCTTGCAAGGCAAAGTTGACAGCCGGTGTTCAGTACAGCTCAGAAGTGCAATCGGAAAGTGGGCTACCGTTGGTCTGTGTGGTGCTGTAAAGAGGAAAACCAAAACCTATGACATCGTTCTGCTATATTTAGACCAGCTTGTTATGCACCTTCTGAATGTGCCAGATATTCGAACGCTTTGGTCTTCTGACTTCAAAATGCTAGATAGACACTCTAGGACACCTTTGGAAATCAGACAAGATGCGGTTGTGGACTTCAGTGACGTTGAGCTAGCAAGTAAGAGCAAGCACCCTCCACTGTACATCAGGGATGTCAGCTTCTGGGTGAAGGGTGGATTTGATGAGCTACACTTCATGTCGGTTCTGCGACAAGGGACAGGCTTCCTGCTCCAGCGAGTTCTGTTGAAGGAGGTCTACCGAGACGAGGCACGAGGTGATGCGAGTCACTGCTACCGACTGGAGTACATGTCCCGTGACGGGGCTCTCAGCAAAGAGAAACTTGCTAGGATACACCAGCGTGTACTGGAGCTAATTCGACAAGAAATGGGCCTTGTAGCAAGGTAATGACGGCTGAGCTTTGCAGATGTCAGTGCAACCACAAGAGGCAATTTTATTTGCAATTTTCAAAAAATGGAGAGGTTTAAGTGAAGTCGTTTCACCCAAGTTTACTACACTGCATGATTGGTGCATTAATTAATTAATTAATAAACCTTGCGGGCTGCGTGAATGAAAAAGGGGAAGGAGCTATGTGGACATTTTTTTTTATCACCAGTCAGTATATAAATGACCCCCCCGGGAAGCCTTAAGCGATTCTTATCCCTATGAATGGTTAATCAAACAAACAATTTAATGACAATTTTATGTTATCTTTGAATTTCCATGTCCATTTATATCTGTTTTTGTATTATTCTTGGTTGAGTCAATAATTGGGTTTTTCATTTGAGTGTAAGGAAGTGGCAGGAATTTTTTCAGTGGTGACTTAGAGAGTAAAATAACAAAGACAGGACATGAGTGCGACAGTATTTGATTGTTATCACACACTCAAAATGAAATCAGGAAACTAAAATAAACATGTTAGGAACAAATGTCAAAATTGTGAAGTAAAATTGTAACGATGACGAAAGTTAAAAAAAAAACACCATCAATAAAATCATGCTAATCAGGAATAAAGAACACAGTTCGGCAATAAACAGCACGATAATTTTGTTGTTGAATTGGAAAACTGAAAAAAAGATAACTGCAAATGGTAAAGATCAAAGGTGAAAAAAATGAAACAGCATAATATCTGTTATGATTGAAAATGGTATGGAAATGTGAACTAAAAATTATAACGTAGAAATCAAATTATCATAACAGTAAAAAAAATGAACACTACGACTTTCAGTTGGAAATGTGAAAGAAACGAAGAAACAAAAATGTGATCACCAAACTATTCAACATCTCAGAAAAAAAAAGACTGACCTAGGTGGACGATAACGTGGCATATTGGGGCAACATCTACTGTTTCACAGTCTTACCATTCAAAAAGTCTGTCTTCACCCGAACGTGCTGCGTGCAAACAAAACAGTGGCAACCATTGCACACTCTTGATGTCTTCTCTTCGGGGAGACAAGACCGGCATCTTCCCAATTGTGCACAGGTTGCAGGATCTTGTGGTCTGGCCCGATGAACAACCTTCTCGCCAACATAGGCAAATGCATCAATGGTGTGTACATGCAGGCGGAGGCATTGAGGGTGTTACCTTCTGATTTCCATTGTGGTAGCATCAGAGCCATGAGTTCCTCTAGATCATGCTGGGTTGTACTAGCTTGAGGATGCAATCATTAAGAATGGATAAACCCGTAATGTGTGGTACGGCATCCGTGCAAGCCCTGAGGAAATCTGAAAAGTCGTGGCGTGCATCTCGATCTCCCACCTTGGGCCAGTGAGCTACCTGTATTTTCTCTCAAAAAGCCTTCTGGATAATGAACGGATTGCCAGATCTCTTATTCAGTTTTGACCCTGCTTCATCTGAGTGCAGAAAGGCACCTTCAATCATCTTTGCTGCTGCTCCAGAAGTGTATGTCTAGAGATTGAATAACTTGTCTACAGCTCTGATGCTTCACCAAGTGGTGAATACATTCGTCCACTCGGGAAACTGCTTTGGGTCCCCACCGAAGGTGCTCGGCTCAGGTACCGGCAGACTTCCCAGAGAAAGACTGTCTTGAAAGACCTTCAACACAGTGGTCAGGTCACTACGAGATTCCATTGATGCATTGAGTGCGCAGCATCTGAACTAGGTGTCTTGAGGGAGAGGAGAGATGTTTCACTTTCTGTATCACTGTGGGTTCCCTGTACTGGTTCTTCATCTTCATAGACCTTGAGTCGAGCCGTAGCGATCCGTACTTCCTTCTCAACTTTCATTCTCTCAAGTTTATCTTCTTGCTCTATCCTTCTTTCTGGTCTCTCATCTGGTTCAGCTTACGACGCTGTGTCTGGATTTGCTGCATGGATTGAATTTCGCCTTTTCTTTCAGCTACGTGTAATTCTGCCGCTGCCTCTGTCTTATTACCGGAACTGCTTGACTGATTGGAGTCTGGTGAAACCTGGGTCTCTCTGATATTTCTCTTTGTCCAGTCCTGCACGGACATACAACAGTGCAGCATCCGGATTGAATTCCTGGACATCTATTTGGTTTATCACCAGCATCTCTATGTCTTCCGAAACCTGATTTGGCCAGACACTTTGTGCGCTGTCCCCTGTAACACATGAATTATTTATGAGTCAGGGCGAGGAGTGGTGCCAGGCAACACTCATGTGCAGCAGCCCTGATTACCCAGCCGCTCACTGGGCCAGGTCATTTTTCCAGGCAGACGCCAGTTGAGTCAGATGCACTGTGTACATGCCCCAGTGCAGTTTACCCCTTTGTTTTTCGCTTTGACCATAGGCCTGCATTAGAACTACCTTGTGATCACGTACACCAACCTTGGTTTTTTTCTGCATGATCAATAATGTTTATGCACACTTGTAAACCAAGAACATCCTGTGCCACACTGAGAAGGGCAATCAACTTGAAGAATTTCTGGGTTGGGCGCTTAAAATTTTAATACGCAGGTCTTCATAATTTTGCAGGAATACTTGGAAACAATCTTGAATCTTATGTACATGTAGTTGAAGCTTTCTGTCCTCTTCATGCTAGAAACACTTGAGGCGCCCTCTTGCTGACTTAATTTCTGCCTTCCACCTTGAAAAGGCAGAGTTGAATTTTCATTCCCTATCTTGTAGGGCCTTCTCCAGGTTTGCTTAAGCCTTCTCGGTTGTTTTTCTTTCCCTTCCACTGCGCTGCCGTCCTTGATCTGTAGCAGTTTCTTGCTTCTCTGTTTCCGTAGTTGACACAGTTCCGACTGTATACTATTAACAGATTGTTCCACAGGGGAAAGGCAGTTATTATGTGAGTTAGAAAGTGCTTCAACCGTCGTTAGATACCCGTTTTCTTTATTTCTAAACCCTACCCCCTCAGTGTTTTTTCGAGAAGGCTGACTCAACCCGTCAAATTCCGATACCCATTGGCTGCTGGGTGTTGTGTGTGTACTCAACCCAACTTGCTGTAACAGTACACAACCCCAAAAAACTCCAACGGGCAGTAACCTGTTGAGTTTTGGCTGAGTGGGGATACTCGGTCATAAACTGTATATTAAAAATGGGGGGCACAATGTACTCATCCCTTCAAGATCAAACAATTGCCGGGCTATACATGTACACATTATCTTTGTTGGGGGGGGGGCTCAGATCAGTTCCTGGTCACAACTGGTAACCATTTGACTTTTCATCACTGCCTTTTTTTTTCTACACTGTACTTCTGTGGTACTTTGATACATATATTTTTATTTCTGTCTTTTATCTTTGACTGCTCTTTTTTATTTCTGCTTCGTTTTGGTAAGGAAAAAAGATAAATGGGTCTTTCTGACTTTTCTCTACTTTCTTATGTATATCTTCTCTAATCTTCTTACTGTGTCTTTTGGGGGAAAAACAAAAAAAGAGCATGTCTGATGGTGGAGGCTGATGAATCGTGGGTGTGGCCGGCTGTATTACTCGGTAGTGCCCGTGGTATCTTACTATGTAGTAGTGGCCTGGTGGAACTTTAGAAAGCATTCACCTGGGCAGAGGTTTACATTATAAATGGGGTATCCTCTGCCGGGGGTCTTGGGGTTGCCAGATGAGGTTAAGACTTTGTGCTCCCTGCACCATCTTCAGTACCTAGTGTGCTTCCTGGGCATTTTGGTGGAGTAGTGCCCAGGGCTATTCATAGTAGGCATTGGGTGCACGCCTGTAGCTTGCCTTGGTGATCTCCCCTGGTTTAGCTATCGATGAGGCGGGTTGCCACTTCAAGGACAAAGAGGCTGTGGCTCATGGTGCCAGTGTCTGGTTCCTCGTCATCACTGGAGCTGCTGGCCTCGTTGAACGTCAGGTGGTGCTGCTGGTAACTCGGCCAGGCATTGACCTGTCTCTGTCACTCTGTGGTTTTGGTCAGGCAGGCCTCTCAAGGACACTTGTGGTTTTGATGACAGACAAGCCACAGGACTGCATTTCTTACACAAAGCTTTTTGAAACTTCTCTAATTGTATCATTTGGAATAAATATACATCAACCC